TGGACAAACCTCTCGACTGAGGACACACTTTACGGCACTTAACGATAGTTATGCCGCCATTTCTATACAACACTTAACCAACACTAGTCTCGAGTCACACAAACACAGCTCCAATCGTATTGTATTCTCTCAACACTACTCTCTTCGCACACTTTGACCATAAATTACATGACTTGCACTTTGAAGCCATTCATTCATTCAGTGTTAGGTAACTCTCAATCCAGTTAATCACTAACCATGCAATTTAATACTTTAATAATATTATACAGCACATATGGTGGTAATTTTCCAGTTGACCATGTTGCAATGTTGAATGTTGCACAGCGTAAACATGTATTAGATATAGCATCCGGATTGCGGACGAGAGTTATATAACTCGAGTAAAATAGTTTGAAATTCAAACTTTGAATATAGGATAGCATAGGATTGCATAATACCTCACATTTGAAGTGCGGGTTTAAAAGGCCAGACAATTGCTAATTATTGTCACTCATTTCAAACTTAACCCATTTTCATATGTCTTATGCAATAAGTGGTGATATAGTGAGCAAAGAGTTAGTGTTGGACACGAGTGACCGAAATGTAGTCCAATAGTAAACCGATAGTTTGAGATGAGATTCTCAGTTTAAAAGTTTTTTAGCCAAAATAAGTGAATTGTTTAGTTTACGTATGATTTAAAACCATTTGTTTATTCAACAATAAACGATATAATAATTTATAAATACATTCAAACAGAATAATAATTATCGGCATTAATATAAGGAATGTTTAGAAACGAATAAAATTATATTCCATTTGGTATTTCATATAAAATATAATAATTAACTGTAAATTGAATTCAAATAATAAATTAAAGATAAAACAAATTAACAAAAGACGCGAACAATTGAATACAATTACAAATTGAATTTGTTCTGAGAGTTGTGTATAGACTTAGAGGTAATAATCAACAAAAAAAAGTGATAAAACAATTCAAATTCATTGGATATCAAATTGTTTGAGATTTTGGACTGAATTGTGAAGAACGCAAAGCATGTCTTTGGCGACAATGAGCTGCGATTCGGCGAATTTCCTCATATTTACGGCAATCGCTTCGATCCGTTGCCGATGAAAGCGTTTGATCTCTTGTCGGGCGACTTCACTGCACTCGTCGAACGCCCGCTCGGCCACAATCTTCGCCTCTTCGGCCTCACTCTTCTTGTGTGGTTTCGCTTTATCTAACATTCGGTTTGAGTTCTCGTATTCAATCTGCAGACACGTCCGCCCGAAAAGCATCGCTTTCTGCGATTCGTGGTATTTATACCAATAGTTGAGTGTATTTCCCAGAGTTGTCTCGTCGTTATGAGATATCACATCCAAACAGTGTCTGTAATCGTCGAGTCCTTTGGAGAAGAGGTTACAGAACCGGACGCCCACTCGAGACACCCCCTCGTCGTCGCATAGGTTGAGGTTCAGAGCGGCCGACAAATGGGACAGTATTTCGCACAACTTTCGGCGCCCGTATATAATGGCGTTCAGCGATTCCGACGACTCCTTCAGATGTAAAGTGTATTCATTGACAAAATCTCTCTCCCGTTGGAAGAATTCATCGCAATCTTTGTGATTGTGTTTCCAATTGTCAAACGAATCGCTGATCCGTGACATCAGCGCAAAGCCCTTCTTCAGCTTCGGTCTCGGAATCGCTTCCTTTTGAGTCAAGAATGTGTACGACTTCACTGCACTCGTCGAACGCCCGCTCGGCCACAATCTTCGCCTCTTCGGCCTCACTCTTCTTGTGTGGTTTCGCTTTATCTAACATTCGGTTTGAGTTCTCGTATTCAATCTGCAGACACGTCCGCCCGAAAAGCATCGCTTTCTGCGATTCGTGGTATTTATACCAATAGTTGAGTGTATTTCCCAGAGTTGTCTCGTCGTTATGCGATATCACATCCAAACAGTGTCTGTAATCGTCGAGTCCTTTGGAGAAGAGATTACAGAACCGGACGCCCACTCGAGACACCCCCTCGTCGTCGCATAGGTTGAGGTTCAGAGCGGCCGACAAATGGGACAGTATTTCGCACAGCTTTCGTCGCCCGTATATAATGGCGTTCAGCGATTCCGACGACTCCTTCAGATGTAAAGTGTATTCATTGACAAAATCTCTCTCCCGTTGAAAGAATTCATCGCAATCTTTGTGATTGTGTTTCCAATTGTCAAACGAATCGCTGATCCGTGACATCAGCGCAAAGCCCTTCTTCAGCTTCGGTCTCGGAATCGCTTCCTTTTGAGTCAAGAATGTGTCCAAAAAGGGATTCAAACCAAAGACGGGATGTTTAATCATAAGCCGAACGTAGTACTGAAGATACCAACAGTCTTTGTTGAACTCATCGCCGATCAGTGTCTTCGAGTCGGCGCCCATCTCTTTGCGCGACTTCTGCTGAGCCAACTCGGGCTCAATGGCCGGTCGGTCGGGAAGCGGAGGTATAATGAGTCCATCGGTTCTGTGAGCGGTTGTCAAACAGTGGTGAAGGTATTCAAAGTCTTCGTATTGACGCAAAACCACAAACTGTTTCTTGTCTTCGGATCTAATGGTCTGAACGCTAATGAAAACCATATTTCCGTTTTTCGTCACATTTGTGTCCAAAACCACTTCATATCTGCTCTCAAAGGGTCTCAACCTTTCGGGCGAAGAGTTGGACGAAGCGGTGGACGGCGAGGGCGGACACGGATCCGACTTCTTGTCCTCAGACACACCATTGGATTCAATGACTAATGCGTTCACTTGTGTGGAGTCGTCCACACTTTGGTCAGCCATGGCTTCAGGGCTTAAGACTAGATGTGAATCAGTTTTGAATGAAATGACAAATGAATGGCAAATATTGTGTGTATTTAATGATCACATCATAAACGCCACAAAAAGGGGCGGAAATTGAGTGCGAGTTTTGGCGGCAATTGTGGCACTCATTCAACCCATCCATCGATCATATGATCTCCGCTTTCGCTCACAAAACGCAATCACTTTAAAGCGTTCATCAAATAAGACGTTCACAAAAGTAGACAATAATATGTAAACAGTATTTGCTATCAAAACCTATCGATTGGCTATTGTTTTGGGGGTTTCATTAATGCCTGAATATCTTTGCCGTCATTTTTGTTGAGAAAATTATATTTTGATTTTGAGGCAAAACATGTGAGACTTGTTTGAGAGACATGTGTTGTGTGTTTGAAATGAGACCACAAATCGTGTGATTAATTTAACAGTTGGTTTACCTCTTTGGATGACAATGAGTGACACAATCGACCATAAAAAGAGTGGTAAATCTCTTCGGACCAGTTGTTTGAATAAATGCTTTATTTGTTTGGCTTTTTTTCTACAGACAAACTCTTGGAGCGAAAGAAGCGAAAGGTTTTATTGAAAGAGAAAAAGTCGCGAATAATTGTGAGAAACCTATCGTTTAAAGCGAATGAAGAGACCATTAGATCGGCGTTCAGTCGTTTCGGACAAATTCGTGAAATAAATATCCCGAAGAATTCGGACGGAAAGATGAAAGGCTTTTGTTTCGTCGGTTTCGATGCCATTAAAAGCGCTCTCAAAGCCATCAAAGAGATGAATGCGAAGCCATTGATGGGTCGGACGGTTGCCGTCGACTTCGCTATGGCTCAGAAAAAGTTTCTCAACTTTGACGCCAATAGTGTCCAATCGGTTCCTAAAGAGGACAACGAGACCGCAGATGAAAAGCTTGTAATGGATGGTAAAGATGATTCCGATGGCGACGACAGCGAAGGTGAAGACAATGATGGAGAAGACGGAGATGAAGATGAGAACGACGGCAGTGGTAGTGATGACAGTGAAGATGATATGTCAGCGAAGAAAAAAATTAATCCCAAAGTATTGAACGACGCGTCGGAAGAGCGGACAGTATTTGTGCGGAACCTGTCGTTCGGGACGAGCGCTGAAGCGTTGAATGAAATGATGAAACAATTTGGTGAAACACAATATTGCAAACTATGTGTCGACCCCTACAGCGAGCACTCGAGAGGAACCGCTTTCGTTAAGTTTAAGAGTAAAGAATTTGCCGATCAGTGTTTGGAAGCGGCGCTCGTCGACGATAACAGCGACTTGTTTTTGGACGGAAGACAACTCAACATCTCTCTCGCCATCACTAGAAATAAACTGAAAGACTTAGAGGAGAAGCGGTCGGAGAAGAATCGCGACAAAAGGAATCTGTATTTAGCCAAAGAAGGGCTTATATATCCCGAATCACCCGCCGCTGAAGGAGTCTCTCAAACCGATCTTAAAAAGAGATTAGCAGTAAGTTTTGCGATACAGTATTAATATAGAATTCATTAACTTATATATGA